ATATTAAACTTTGCATGCATAATAACGTCATATCTTAATCAGATATGTTGTTTGGTTATATATTTTGTTTAATTTGTTGACTGTAAACGAATCAGTATCTTTGGAGTTGGAAGTGGCGTGTACACATGTATATATATATATAATATATATGTATATGTGTGTGTATATATATATATATATATATATATATATATATATATATATATATATATATATATATATATATATATATATATATATATATATATATATATATATAATATATATATATATATATATATATATATATATAATATATATATATGCATCTTTGTGTGTGTGTGTGTAAATATATATACATACATACATTAGCATATATATATATATAATATATATATATATATATATATATATATATATATATATATATATATATATATAATATATATATATATATATATATATATATATATATATATATATATATATATATATATATATATATATATATATATATATATATATATATATATATATAATATATATATATATATAATATATATATATATATATATATATATATATATATATATATATATAATATATATATATATATATATATATATATATATATAGAGAGAGAGAGAGAGAGAGAGAGAGAGAGAGAGAGAGAGAGAGAGAGAGAGAGAGAGAGAAATAATATTTACTAATATTGTGTGTGTATGTCTTTCAATAAGCAAATCTGTTCTCTACCAAATACTGTTAGTTGGATGTTATCAAGATTTGAATATGGTTTTGTGGTTTCTTATAGACAAATATGTATAGTTAGATTCATAAATAAATGGAAATTATTCTTTCACGTGCACTTTTAGATAAAAAAAACAATATCAAAACTGCATTTTAACTTGACAGATGTAAGCAAACTGCACCAAATTAGGAACCAATGCATCAGCGATGATATATAGACATTCACAATAAACCAAAAAGAAAAAAATTAATATTTCGATAATGTGAGATCATATAGTGTATCAAGGATAAGCAATGAATGCATTCACTTTGTATGTTTATTATCACAAACTCAGTCTTTCATGTATGGAAATTCTTCATACACAAGGTAAATCAACCTGTTGGCATTTTTCTTGTAACGGTCTAATTTATGAACTTTAATAATTGCTTTCTTCTAAGTAATAAAGCAATTTTCTTTTTCACCATTATTAGGATCATATCCACCAAACTGTCTAACTATTCTTCCTGTAGTTTCATAACAGAAGTTTTACATTTCTTTTACAAGATGCATTTTCTAAGTTTGTAAAAGAGTAAGCAAGCATTGTACATTCCTGAAATAAATGATACTTCTGTGTAGTATATCTGGTACTGAAAGATAAACAAAACTGTCAACTATAACAATCTTTCAAAAAATATGAGACTCAAGACAATCACTAAATGCATAACAACAACCACGATATCATACAGTTTATACCGATCATATCTCTTCTGATCCTTGTCACTCATCCCTGATAGTTTTTCTTATTTTTTTCTTATAATTCATTCAACCTAAAAAAAATCTACCATGATAGAATATACAAAAACTTTGATGCCTTTGGCCATCTCGTTTCATTTTTCATCCTTTCCCTCTCCCTTCTTCCTCATCCTAACATTTGAAGATGATTCACAAATACATACAAAATGTAGACAAGGCCACAAGTCAACATCCTCTCTGCCTACAGAAAATAATGCCGGGATGTAGCTTTAGGAAGACAAATATCAAACGCCAAAACAGCCTCGAATGATTGTCTTGCCAAAAGAAATCATCCAAATGTACTGAAATAGCAATAGAGAAATAGTAGTTCTTTTTATCTTCTTTTTTTTACATGAAGTGAAAATGAGGTGCTTATTGTAAAATGGAGTGGGGCTTATGGAGACTGTCTTTTACTAATTTCAATCTTATTCTAAATTCTACTAATTACGCAATATGTGTACTTCCTTAAACAGAAAAATTAGCATATAGCAAGGTTCCCCCATAAGATGTGATCAATAAATTAAATGTTTCTTCGCATATAAAGAGAAAAAGAGTTGTTAGCACAAATGGCCTAATATATTTACATGACGCAGGATATTCCTTCCTAACATCCATGTTGTACAAAAGGGCTTTGATTCTAAAATGTACAGAGTTCCTAATAAACTTGCTTATTATTTACTCAATACTGTTCATTCTTCCTAAAATTTACACATATATATATTTTTTTTAAGGACCAAAATGTTGCCCAGAGATGTAACACAGGATAATCAGTGCAGTATAATCAAATCTAAAAAAAAAAATCTTAAAACACTGAAATATTTAAATTATAATTAATCTCACTTTCAAGTAATTTTTGTACACACTATTGTTCTTTCTTTCCTTTAATTTGTAAAATACAGGTATTGGGCAAAACATTAGAAAATAGCAATAAATTTACAAAATATCCTAAGTTCTATCATTCTTAAGTGGTGGTTGGTCTTGGCTTTAAGATAAGCTTCCCAGTGTCATCGCAGGACATGTTAAAATCAGAGAGAACGATGCGGGTTCGTGAAGTGATGATTGAGGGAAAAACCACCTTCTTGTGGATCCCCACTATGAACAGCAAGACTGAAAGAAAAGAATTAAAAGTCAGTATCATCATGTATTAAGATTGAAAGAAAAAAATTAATATCCTTATCATCACCATACAACCACAGACACAATAATTAAAATTATTTGTTTTTTTCTTTTTCAAGTACCAGAAATTGGAACAATAATTCAATGATTATCATCCAAATGTAAATGATACATAATGAAATGAGTATCAAGCAAGGACTAAATAGCAACAAGTATTAAATAGACTAAATAACTACCATACCTACGGACTTTTGATCCTCCATTGCTACTGCATGAAAAAGATACAATTTCCAGTTATGTATATCTATCTATTAATGTTTGTCCTGCCCTTTTACAGCTGCTCCACTATAACATCAGCTGAAACACATACCTAGAGAAAATGCAGCCAAAGTAAAGAAGAGATGATTGATGAGCGACTGAGCAACTGTTGCGCTGTGCGTGATGGGGTCAGTGAGCCAGATGTATGCCCCAAAAGCTGTGCTCAGTGCAGCAATTATCAAGACCACTGAAATGCATGTTCTGTTGAGTGTTGTCACTGGGAGAAATATGGCTTATGTCAGTATACTTGGAGATAAATTTCGCAAAATGTGGGGAAAATTTGGCATGAGACTTTCAAAGGAAGAAGATACAGAAATATGGAAGGTCTAAAGCATAGGTGGAGAAAGAGAAAGAATATACACATACATAAAAGAAGCAAGTACAGAAAAGACTAGACAGAAAGTCTCTAAAAGAGAGATATAAAAAGAACGAGAAGAAATTTTCTAAGGAAGAAGTGAAATAGAAAGATAAAACCAAAGGAATACAGAACCAGAATGTGAAAGAACACAAGAATGTAAAAGAAAAAAATCTTATACATTTGAGAACACAATAAAGTGTATTATAGCATGAATGAAAATAGAAAATTTAGACGAGTACTTACTTCTCCATCTCACAGTGGAAGGCTGTAACCTATTTATCACCTCCGTTAATCGCCGCTCAAATGCTTTTAGATCTGAAAGGGAACATTAACTTTGTTACATATTTAATTTGGGTGTATGACAAACACAGAAATATGTTCTTAGTACTACTGAGAAAAATTGCTAATGTTCTTTTTATAAATCAGAAACAGTCAACTTCCTAAAATATGAAAATAGAAAGCGAGAAAAAAGTAAAAGAACAGAATAATATATAATATTATTACACATATTTACTATCCTATATGGTATAAATTTACCTTCACACGCAGTTTGTTCTAGCGACATGGTGACTTTACAAACTATCTGAAAAAAAAAATTAATAGATAAATAAATATATTGGGGAACATTCTTACACAAGCAAGTATACATCTGAATTATGTGTATATACACATGGGAGCAAAATAATCAAGTGAAATGCATGGAACTACAGCATGCTATATTACTACACAATGACTACATATAAAATATAAATAGTTATATGCAACTGCTATATCAATGCTCCAGTAAAGTTCCAGAACATTTATTATGAGTATACAGTATATTGTAATTATACCCTGTAACAACCTGCTCTGAACATTGTCATTTATGTCTAACGATAGCCCTGACCTTTACATGTTTCTTTTTCAATCTTGCTCTGACTCTTTTCCACTTTCCCTCCCCTCCTCTCTCTCTCTCTCTCTCTCTCTCTCTCTCTCTCCCTCCCCCCTCTCTCCTCTCGTATAATCATCATCTAACTTCATTCATTCAGTGACATAGCTGCCTAGCATAATCATGATGCCCCTTTTCCTTCCTTCAAGAGTGTAAGTGTGTCTGTGTGTCTGCATATTGAAAAGACGTCTGTTTATTTCTGCCACTGAGCTGGAGGTAGACTCGATTACCATATGTAATATACTCATCTACGATAAGCATCCCACAATAAACTATATCATATTTTTTTTTTTATAGAGGGCAATTTCATGCAATAGTAGATGGCAACACAGTCAGTACAGTAACTGAGGAAATTACTGCCATCTAGTGGCTGGAACTCCCATACGTCTTACTATCGAGTATACGCCCCTGGCTAACGGCATCCCCTCGGGAACTACGCACAACCAGCCAAGGAAAGTGGGCCATCGCCAGCTTTACTGACCACATGGATTATGCCACGTTAATCTTAGTATACAATGCTGACTATATTACAGGTTAGTATACTGCTTCGGCGGGAATGTTCCAGTACCCTTATATTTGTCTCATGCTCTATCCTGCTGTACATACATGGAGGATTCTTTGTCTTCCTGGGTGGGGGTTTGGGGGTGACAGTCCCCCCAATGAGAGGTTTGGGTGTGACAGTCCCCCCAATGAGAGGACTGCCACCAATGATTATACATAGTAGCCGGACTTCTTCATTGCTTATTAGATGTATAGTATAATAATTAGAGTATTACATTGTT